CACTACCTCGTCTACTTTATGGTGTCCGATTAACTGGCGCATGTGCCTGAGCAGCTGGGATGGTTTACGTGGGCCTAGTTCACAGCCTGTGAGCAATTGTTGGATTCTTTTCTCATCTGACAAACTGGTGCGTTGTATGAGGAGGGCTTTAAGTTTATCAAATTGGTGTTCCATCAGGGGATTTTTGATGAAATCGCTGATTTCTGTCAATACTGACGGAGGGAGTTCTGCCAGTACTACACCATATTTGGCTATCTGGGACTTAATGCCCCGTGCTTCTAGCAACGGCTCAATTACCGCAAACCAAATCCTTGGTTCTGCGAAACCGTATTGAGGTAAACGAAAATCAGTGATGGCATCTATTGTGGCATTTGTCTCGCTGTTAGCTGTCTGCACGTTTGATGTACCGGACTGAGGTGACGGCATTATAAATATGAGGGTATCGGTGCAAAATAGGATACAAATATAAACCACACACAAAATCACAATGAATATACAAAATAGCAAAAATAAGAATATGAATATGTCAAAATAATCAGTGTTCTTATCGGGCTCACCAATTAATTAGTAGGGGACTTATACTAGAGTTCACTAACATTACAAATATAAGAATAATAATCCAAGTCAATAGAGTGTTAAATAACAATATATTACCAAAAATACTGTGACGAGTTATATCAACAAAAAGGATTACTTGGATATAAAGTCTAAGTCCTCTGCTACAAATTATTTATGTAATCCACGGGTACGTTAATTGTTTGGGTTGCGTCTGCTGTAGCTGCTGTGTTCCGGTTGTAGAAATGTCTTCGGTTGAGAGTAGTAGACTCCTACAATAAATCCGAAGTATACAACACGGTGTGAGTGGAGCAAGTAAGCAGAAGTGACCAGGGAGAAGACGAAGTTTCCAACAGCAGAGTGTATTTTTCAATTGTACACGGAAGTTATGTATATTTCAACAAGAAGCGTTTTAAACAAAAATTATGTACAATATCTCGAATTTATACAAGTAACCAAAAAGTGTACAATCACATTGTTACGTACTCCACAGGAGCAATGAAAGATCTGTGAAGTACTGGCAGTGTTTTTGATGGACTATATTGTACCAGCCCTCACTAAACGTAGTTTGCTTAATCACTCAATAAATCAGTACTCTGCCTAACTTGTAGGTACTGATAACATGCTGCAAATCAAAAAGGCTTAGTTAATCAGTAATGGGGTCTGATGAGCATTATATCTGAATAAAATAAGTAGTTAAGATTTTTTAGGGGAAAGATATTAGGATATATCTAGTTGGTACAGCTGAACTGCAGACCACAAGGATGCGCAATTTAGAAGCACAATGGAAGAGGGAATAATGGCGTCCCAGCCAGTCAAGATGTGTACTGGTTAAAATAAAACTCGAAATAGAGGAACGAGCACTTATAGATCCTTGTCAAACAACATACAGGATATGAAAAGAAGACAGAAGAATTGCAATAAACAGAACATATGAAGATGAAGAGTTCAATATTAGGTTTCTATATTTTACCGATGAACAAATCCACTACCAAATACTACTGAGTCCTTCTGTTACAAGGGCAGAACTAACCTCAAGATGGAAAAACTCATTACCCATTGGATCCCGGTGGATGTAGTTTTACTGCCCGTACAGATATGTAAGAATACGGAAAGACTCTATTTCGCGTCAATTCTTTTTCCTTTGATAAAGTTGATCACTAAGTGGCTGCAATTTAGACCAAGTGAATGAGGATTTTTATCATTTTGCTGCCGAAGGCGAAAAATCTCTAAAATACGCATGTGTCCTTGATCTCAAAGCTCAATTAGCACAGCTGTGTAGGTAAGAAAAGTGTATTTGGTATATAAACGGAGTTCTATGCCAAAAACCAACAAATGGCGTTGCATATTTCAGTTCTGTTCAGATTACTGTTCGAATCTGGTTAAAAGTAACTTCATACATAAGGAGAACCATTAACCCACGAAGTCAACGAATGACACAAACAGATCACATGGATACAAGTTATTGATGTTACATTTTGATCGCAGTTTGGAGTGATAATGTGGTGAGAGCAGGCTAGCTAAAAATGGTAGACAGCATTTTACGTCAATATGTATGTCGCAAATATTGGTGGTGAGAAAATATGAACAAGACTGATTCAACAACCAATCACAGCAGACTTGGCATATAGATTATCTGACATTCAAGGAACAGTCACAAAGAGATGCCAAGTCAGCTTTCTGTACGAAATAACCAATCAAAAGTTTGTGTTTGTCTGCTTGAATAAGCTATAATAATGAAAAATATATAAATATGTGTTGATTTCCTTAATAAACCATCTGTTACCTGACTCTTGTCTTTTGTCGTTTCAATCAGATAAAGTTACATCGGAAAGGTAAATTTAGTCGGACATTGAGTTTGTGAGAATAGAGGATGTCTTTGCTTTGATAATCGCAAGAAAACCCGATAATTATACGCAGTGTAACAGAGTTGAGTAGTGTACGTCCAGGGTCTTGTCAACAATAAGAACCAAGTATTATATGTCGTGTGATGTGCCTGAAAAATCACCACAATGACACATGTTCATCCAATCATCTTAATCTAATTATTTAGAGTTTTAAATTAACTAGTGGAAATAGGCTGTTTAAAGAAGTATACCCGTTCAGGCTAGAGTATTTCCAAGCGACACAATAAACAAGTTAACAGAAAATGATGGTGTTATGATGAGCGAAAATGGGAAAGATTGTTAATTTGAATTCCAGGGAATGTTCACAATTTTGAGAAAAATAGAGAGCGAACAAATCTTTTGAATTATTCAGGGTAGCATCACTCTTATCACCACGACAATGAGAGCTAGGGAATCTTCATTTCAATACAAAGTATTAAATACAGTCTGAACACAGATGAACTTTTTTGTATTCCTAGAAATTATTGCTGGATAAAGAGTCAGATAGTGTGACACAGCCAGGGTATTTATGGATATCGTCTGTGTGCTACTAGCTTTATTCAACTATTGGGAGGTCACACGAAAACATTTCATCAGTACGTTGGGTAGTCACCGTCACTCTAAGTGATGTTGAGCAGTATAGAGAGCTTCTCGAAATGTTTCGGATCAGTGGTTCGAGACCACTATCGAAGTGGCTTGGAATCGATTGCATCATCCAGATCCTGAGATTTCTGACCAGTCTCCACTTAATTATTTCCTCTGTCGTATGTTTTCTTCCATCTCAGTTCTTTTCCAGTGCTTTTCTACACTGTAATGTGTGCTTTTGCGAAGTGTTTCAAACTAGACTGCTGCACGTTGGTGCAAAGTTTTACGTTGACGATTCAACGAGTTAGTGACAGGTATCACTGAGATTGACACTATGTCTACCTTTTAGGTGTATAATTGGTCGTGTTGTTAATTTTTCCACGCATTGGTGGGAATGAGAGTTATTTGTCTAATGAGGGATCGCACAGTTAATCAACTTCACAAGTCATCGTAATGTGGGATCCTGTTTCTACAGATCCACATATGGATTTGTGTGTCTAATGTCTTGTGATCATTATGTCAAGCACAGCACATTCGACAAATTGTTGACGTTCTGTTCTGATACACATCAGCTTATTCGACAAGTCTTGGTTAAAGTCGTTTCTTGACAAATCAACTGGTCAAATGTTTCCTGTCTAATCGTTGGATATTTACTTCAATAAGCACTTCTCTAGATTCTTATAAGAAGACATGATGTCTGTAGTTAATCAGTATAAGTATAAGAACACATTACTCAACGACATTAACCTGTACTTCAAATCCACATAAACTGAATAAAACGGACTCAATGGTAACGTGCTGGTTAAGGTAACTGGTCATTTTCTGTTAAAATGCATACAAAAAGTCGCTTAGCACTGTCATTATGTCTTAAATTACAACTAACAATCTGCAAAGTGTTTTTTTTTACTTTGTCTAGTTTCGTTGGATGTTGATGCATAATGCCAGTTATCCTTAAATTTATTTTGTTCAGTGAACACATTAATGTTTGTCATAAACAAATTCAGTTATAGACGAATCAGCCTTATTTGACTGTGCTGTATAGGTTGGCATTGCCGAAACGAACAAAATAACTGATAAAAATATATGCATTATTATGTATATCAATGAAGCTGTTTCCAATGCTTTGATAAAACTATACTGATAAAAATATTTCAGTAGTATAAGGATGTAAAAAATAAAACAAAAGACAGGTTAGCAAACTGATCAAATACCTACAAAATTATTACAAAAGAAATGAATGATCTCAGTCAGATAAGAAAACATCAAAACAAAAAGGAATGTTAAAAAAAGATATGAAGTCACTTAAGTTTAGGATATGTATATATGCATATTTGTATGTGTTTTAATATGTATATATGTTCGCGGAAGCCTCCAGATTTGATTGAGGATAATTTGCTGCAAAAACATTAGGCAGGAAGAGCAGTTGTGTAGATTGAGAATTTTATTTTAAATGATGTCTCTTTTTTAAAAAAACATCTCCAATTTTTCGTCTACCGAAATGTTTTCAGAAAGAAGAGGTTAAAGTAGAAGTAAGCTGACAAGTAGCTTATTTGTAAGTGTGAAATATTTTTATTTACTCTAAATTGGGGTACAAAAAAAAAGTTATCCAGATAATCTTCTCAAACAGAGTTGTTCATCTTTCTGTTTACTCAAGTTAATTTAGGATGGAGTTTCTGTGAACATGTTCGGCATTTTGTAAAGTATTGAACAGATATAATGAAAAAAGAGAAAGCCAAAATCTGTTAAGAATATTTTCCTTTATCACTGAAATTTCTATATCACTCATCTGTGGTGAAAATCTCTTTGGCGGGTGAAATGAAAAATAATCTTTTAAGATAATACTGATTATTGTAGTGAGAAAAAGTATGTGTAGGACACATGCCAATTCATCTTTAGAAACGGTGTGCAAAGAAGAATATACAGCCTTTAGGTGCTGAGCATTCATTAGTTTCATCTTTCATTTATGCTTCTGTCTTAGACATCTTTACGTTTCAGCAATGCTTCTGGATCGGGCAAATTACAGCGCAGTACAGTAAAAGTTGTCTGATTTACACATTGCCGCAACAGAGCTAAAGCACTAGAAATCAAACAAGGAGAAGAAATGTTACTTTGTACGTAGTAAGTAAAGTGGTAGCAAAATAAATAAAAGTCTATTATTTCATGGTATTCTGTAGACACCATAAGTTACTTCTTATTCAAGCTGAAACTGTTTTTTTAGTTCTCTATGTTATTTATCTGGGAATAACTAGTATAAAGTACAGTCTATGAGTTTCTTCTCTTTTGAGATTTGTAAAAGATTTATGCAATGTACGACTAGCAAGTTGCAAAACAATAAAATCAGGATAGGAGTAATTTTTAAATTCAACAATCACATAGAGGGAATCATCTCTGAGGTTCATGTAAATATGCATTAAAAGTTTACATAAATCTAATGCTTTTCGATATATGAACTCCTGAATAATAACACTTGTTTAGTTCCACCTAGACGCCTGCATAGTTCCGTGGAATAAATCATTTAATCACAGTGCATATTCAAATGATCAATAATCTTAAACTATTCGTATGTATGTCTTGTAAAAATTCTATCTAATTTTAGTAACATAGGTGTCTTTTATGAAAGTAATCTCTTTTCATCATCGTACTGATAACAGTTTGTGAACGTGTGAGAGTGACTGGAGTACTTTTATTGATTGTGTGGTGATACAATGCATATCTTATATTTTTTTAACAGCTACATATGTAATATATTTGTGAATTATTCGCAAAACATTTCAGGTTAAACGGTGAATAAACCATTAGATTTATCGCTCTCCAAGCTGCAATTCTCTTGAAGTGAGCTCTCACAGCCAGTCTAAACATTGCTTTCAATGCTAATTTATGACTAAATGTATTGTGTTGTTTGGTCACTGAGGTGTAAGCATTGTTATAATATTGTGAAATTCATACTGCTGACTGAATTATATTAATCAGATTATCAATGTGATCACCAGGCTAAGTTGCCCAATATTCGTCTCAGGTGGTTGGAGTCAGCTGATAGGAGATAGGAAACCCTGTACCGAGGTTTTGCGCCTATCAACACTTGTCAACAAGACAACAGCAACCGTGGAGAAACTAATGTTCTCTCTGTAGTTTGAACTATTTCACCTCCTCTTGCAGTCAAAATGGTAGCTTGCTGGTTTGCTGCTAATCCTCTCTCTAACAACCTAACATCAATTCAAATGTGTTATTTCGATAAGATTAACACATATTTTGTGTATGATAAAAGATAAGGTATTACGTCTGATTTCGATATGTAAGGACGTAGTAGCCTCACTAAAAGTTAATTATCTGAATAATACGGTTTGAAGTGGAATTTTCACTATGAAATTTAACAGATGTGGTCCTAAGAAATCATATTATCGTCAACCATGAATCTGTATTTTACAATGTCCTCATTTCATTTTCGATCTCATGGTACGAAGTTAGCCAGAATTCGAGGGGTTTTCTGATCTTTGAGTTAAATCAATCCGGGTTCTGAAATGACGGTCATGACGATGGATACATGATTGTTCGACTTTGATCAACAGCGCTATTTATTTGCATGCAAGGCTTAGAATAGAAGTGTAACATACCGCATTATTTTAAAATTTATCAGACAATAGCTGATTTCTCACCTGCAAGAAACTATCTTACACCAAACGCAAAATGCTACTTCCATCATGTATTTTCTTCGGGAAAAAAATCATAAGAAATTAAATGTACTGGTAACTGTTTTACAAAGTAAAATAAAAGTGCGTCGGTGGCACAGTGGTTAGGACTCTCGCCGACCATACACATGGTCCGAGGTTCGATCCCATGCCGACAAACACCTGATATCTATGGTCGGCCTGCAAACTTTGGGCTACCGATATCCATGCCTGTACCACAAAAACCAGTGTGGAATCAAGCTGTAAATAAAAAATAAAAAATTGAAAACATTTATTTCCCGATACGAATTTAAAACAAGCAGTAAAGGTTAATAAAGCAGGATTTAATGAATTCATCAAATTTCGGTAGAACTCGTCAGCTGAATACTCTACATACACGGATATATATACTTTTGAAATTACATTGGGAGATATAAGACTGATAAGTAAACAAACTACATTGAATTAGTCATGCAGAAAGACAGGTGCGAATGCTTTCCAGGTCATGTTCAAATAGATAAGGGGAGAGAGAGTATGAGAGATCGAAATTAAGATAAATTGCATTACGCTTCAATTACATCACTTAGATAAACAATTAGTCATTAGGGAATATAACGAGAATTGCAAACAGACTAATATCAATAGTAATAGTTATAATAACAATTTTAATAGTGTTGAAGTGAGTTAAGATAATCTTACTGATAAAGCATAGTTTTAGATGAATCAAGAATAATAATAATGATAATAATAATAACAAAAATAATGATAAGAAGAGGTAGAATAATAGTAATAACAAAACATCTTGTAGATTACGGACATGATATCGACGCAGTCAAGTCATTCCCCATTGTCAGCAAACAAAGAAACAAGAAGATGCTTGCAATTGCAGAGGCTTGTGCAATTCGAATTTACAAACCAGCTCTCTGTATACAAAAGGAGATGGTCGTCACTCTGAATCTACCATGGTAATACGCTTTACTTATTATTCTCTACTTGTTATTACTATTATTCTACCTCTTCTTATTATTATTTTTGTTATTATTATTATCATTATTATTATTCTTGATTCATCTAAAACTATGCTTTATCAGTAAGATTATCTTAACTCACTTCAACACTATTAAAATTGTTATTATAACTATTACTATTGATATTAATCTGTTTGCAATTCTCGTTATATTCCCTAATGACTAATTGTTTATCTAAGTGATGTAATTGAAGCGTAATGCAATTTATCTTAATTTCGATCTCTCATACTCTCTCTCCCCTTATCTATTTGAACATGACCTGGAAAGCATTCGCACCTGTCTTTCTGCATGACTAATTCAATGTAGTTTGTTTACTTATCAGTCTTATATCTCCCAATGTAATTTCAAAAGTATATATATCCGTGTATGTAGAGTATTCAGCTGACGAGTTCTACCGAAATTTGATGAATTCATTAAATCCTGCTTTATTAACCTTTATTGCTTGTTTTAAAAAATAAAAAAGTTTCCCAACTTACTCCTTATATGTCATGCTTGTGAGATCACGTCCATTGATTGCTAAAATTCTATCCCCTAGTCTAAATGTCCCATTCATATCAGCTACACTGTTCGGAGCAACAGATTTCACAAATACGCCAGGCTGATCAAGACTAGTACGCTGTTGAATAAAATAAAACATGAATTAGTATTTATAAATAGTTAGTACTGTAAAATAGGGAATTATTTTCGTCTCAACGCATCTGTTACTGACTAGCGAGTTGTGTGGATGAGAGTTGTGCTCTCTTAACAATTTAAATATGCATAAAAGCATATGAAGTAAGCGGTCGTCTACGTAAATAAATAAGCAGGAAGCTGATTACCGTTTCTACTTTCATAATTATATCTACAGGGTATCTGAATGTTTGGTAAGGTTTCTAAAGGCAGTAAAATCTCAGAGAACACAACCACGTGAAAAAGTTTTTCACTCTCCAGTAACCGACTGGAGTAAGTTATTTTGCTTTATTATCAAAATTTAGTGCCACAAATTTAGGTAATTAATTAAGAAAACATGACCACCAAAGCAGACAGATCAACGTGGATTTACAATATCAGAGGTCTATCATTTGAAAATCATTCTCAAGTGGTTTATATGATCAGCAAAAAAGGGAAAGCAAATAGTTCAGTGGAGAGTCTGTTTACAATGAGGTTATGTAAAATTTTGTGGTAGGCATGTACAGTGTATTCGTTAGAGTAGTTAGTCTGCAACAGCAACAAACAGAAAAGAAATCTTAATTCATTTCTCATCATAAACTTATCGCTTATGATAAGTGAAGAATAATCAAAATATAACAGAAATTTTTCGGAGATAACTAAGTTTTTATCAGTAGCCATGTAATAATGATGACTGACAGGCTGAGTTTAAACACAGAAATTTACAAGGAATTGCAGTACTCCATATAACACATAAAGGTCAACGAAAGAGAGAAAAGAAGATATTCAAAAGAAATATAATAGGCAGAAATGTAAGGGGTGTGTAAAGAGTATCAACACGGAAAGGCATGATAGTTTAGTGGATATGATCAAGAGGCATAGAAAGTGACTGTATTCACGATTTGGGTTATATTAAAAATAGTCTGAAGCTGTTGATTGTTAACATCCCAAGGACCCTATTCAGACAGTATATATATATATATATATATACAGAAATTTTAATAGTGTAAACAGTTGATCACTACATCAATAGTAAAAATTTTCATGAACTCTGAAGACAGACTTTTAGCTAGGGAATATAAACAAATCTATTGAAATGAGCATGTATCATCAGCCTAATGTTACCATACAAAATGCTAATCACTCTTTAGTTATGTTATCCCGCCTTGTGACGTGATTGTTGAACTGTATATGCAAATGTACATGTATCTGTGGAAGGAGTTACATTAGAAGAACACTAAGAAGGGCATACCTACGATTTTCTAAACATCTAACAAAAAGTCCATGTCTAAAGGGAACAAATGCTTTAAACTGCGCCACCGCTAGCCATCCACATAACACGGATCGTGAGGTGGACGTCTCAAGATCCTTCACAATTATCAATAGGCGGCAGGTTTCGATTCTTCACCCCAAGTTTGCTGAAGCGATCTCCATCAACCACCTGAAACCCTATTTGTGCATTCAGAAAGAAGTGGTTATCAGTCTTTCCTAGTTTTCTGGTAACTGGATATTTTCACCCTCTCTTTCATCTGATTATGTAACGTCGACAGTTTCCATTGTGTGTGATCATTATTGTTCAGTGACCATGCTTTTCAAAACTATATTTTTATTGTATGCATATATTGATTGATTGATCGATTTTTGTTTGAAAATGAACTCTGTGCAAGTAGGTTAAAATTGTTTCTGTGGATATCCTGAATAATAACTTTGGCCTGTAAGCAACTGATGAGAAGCGAACGGAATAAATGATGTTACCATTTTATTCTGCAAAAACCACTGTTGTTCTTGCTTTATTCAAATTCATTAAGGGGAATAAATGTATGACCTTACCTAATATCAGCCTAAAGTGTACTATGATGGCGAGTCATCTAGCTTGGTGAAAACAGTACAAACTTTACTGATAGAATTCAGTCCTCACCAACACAATGGGTTAGATATGTGACATCAGTTACTCCATTGTGACCAATTAATATAACTATTAAAGTGCTATATGAAGTTACTCGTGGGACCACATGGCTCACTGGTAACGCTTCTGGCTATAGACGTAGGTGGTGTAAGTTTGAATCCTCGATGGCAGTCAGTTCCTTTGAGGTTGTAGGTATGGCTTGCTGATGATTGTGAACAAACACTAAACCTAGTTTCAAGGTTTCCTACCTGCCTCTAGCTACCCAGCATCAATTGTACATCTAAATAATAGTCACAAACTTATAAACCGGTATACTTGTGCAATTCTAGTAAAATACTGTAATAGAGTAAATCCGATACTAAAAAGAAATTCATACAATTCTTATCATTCAGAAACTTGTAAAAAGTAAAAATAACTAATGTAGCAGGACAACGCGGATTTTTTTTGAACTGTTTATAAAATGAACAATACCAAAATATATAAATTATAGAAAAATGCCTTAACATGCATTTATCCCATTGACAATGATTTATGGATAGGGATCACAGCCAGCATAAGTGTGAAAGGACAGACTATTCACAGGATATTCTCACAAATAATAAATCTCCTGAATAATGCTCACTTTAAAATAAAGTGTACCATAGAGTATGGAAACAAATTTCACTTTCTCTCCCTCAGTAGAACTAGATGGCTAAATCTTAAGGCATATTAACAGAAAAAGATGTGGAGCGCACTTTATCTGATTTTCAAAGGCTTCCACCATATGCATTACAAGAAGTGGATTAGTGTAAACACTGTTGCATCGTGTAAAACGTTTTTCTCTGAAGGAAAAAGATCAGGAAGGTTATTCAACATAGTAGCAAAGGTCGTCCGGAGAGGTCCATTGACAAACATGAAAAATGTAGGTTGGAAAAGTGGACTGAGGAATAGTGGAGAAAAAGACTATCTTTTTGCAGCTACCTCTCAGAAGTGGTGATACCAGTAATATAATAAACATCGCACTTAAAGGAGCATTTTCAGCTATTAAGACTGTTGGCGTGTGCCAAGCTGACTGTTGTTTGAGACAACAGGAAGGGGCTGAGTTCCTAACTCAGGTTGCCTCCAAGTTTATCCACGAATTTACGTTTAAGCGTTAAAACGCTTACAAAGAGTTGTTATTCGCATTTTTGAATACAACCAAATAACCTGAGACTAAACTGTTCACAGGCAGTAAACACTGAGATTGTGTGTTGTTTATTTGACACTTGTCGTATTATAATTAGTTTGAAGGCGTTCAAAATAATTAACTGAAAATAAAAACCCAGACTGCTACATTTTACCCCTCGCAGTCCTTATAGAACAGATCAAATGAAATCTATGCAGTGAGAAAGAAACAGTGATTAATGAAAACAAAACACGTAGATCAGCGAAGAGTCTCTTTTCGGCGAATTCATTTTCTTAGCGATTGTACAGCTAAGAAAATGAATTCGCCGTAAAGAGACTCTTCGCTGATCTACGTGTTTTGTTTTCATTAATGCCTGGATGGGGATTATCCATGAATAGAAAGAAACAGTGGTCAACCCTGCACTACCTTGGTAAAAATGTATAAATCATAAAGTTGCACAATCTTTTGCGTCATTTCTTCTTCTGTAACCTTTGTTCTACTTCAATATTTTTCATTTAGAATTTACTCATTCTACCGTTTTTAATCCTTTTACTATTGAAAATTACACTTTGTAGTTACGCAACCTGTTATTCTAGTTGTATTTCGTTTCTATCCCAGGTTTTAGCTCTTTCCCTTTCATCAAGAAGAATATTCAACAAAATATTCAGTAGCATAACACTTCAGTTGTTTATGATTCCTATCCATAAATCACTGTCACTCTGATAAAGGTATGCTCAGATGTTTTCGTAATTTATACAATTCGGTATTGTTCAGGTCGTAAGCAGATGAAAGGAATCCGCGAAATGCTACACGCAAAGTCACGGTAACCTGTTGTATTTACATAATAAACGTTTTTCAAATCCACAGTGAGCGCTGTTACAGTACTGCAAGTATATTGCAAGGGTTTAATTCAAATAATCAAATTTTCTGCATCTGGAAATTATAATACCATTAGGAGTCAATAAGAACTAGCATGTTTCATTGTAGGTCTAAAGCTATCTAAAATGAAACTGATGACTAGACAAAATATTCCCTAATAAAACGAGCGAATGGATGCGAAAACTTAAAAAAAAAAGGATAACACTTGATAACAAAAGTTATTGATGCGTTAATTTTTACAAGTACTCTACTATGTAGTCATCGTTTTTCATTTTAATTGCAGCATAGTATATATGGTATAATACTGTCACAAGTGATTGATGCGAGTAGTTGCAATTTACTCATATGTTAACCACTAGTTCTGGTGAGCTGCAAATCGCGATATTTCCAAAGATAATCATGGTGGATTTTCATCTTGAATCGTTTAATTTGTAGATGCCAAATTTTTTAGCTTAGTGAACAGAAACAGCAATTGAATGGATTCAGAAGCCTCTACTAAGTGTTATCTGCCTGTAAACACTTCACAGTTCAACGTTACGTCATATTCAATAATTAATTAAATTAATTACGTGAATCTATCTGACAAAAACGCAGTTTGAATACTTGGAGCATATTAAGCTATCATGAAGTCATTTAATAGAATTTCCATGTTAGTATATTATATATATATTATATATATTAGCTAGAAAACCATTGCAAACCACTGTAGCACTCTACAGCTGCATTGTCTTTTTATGGAGACTGCTCAGCGGACCTCGTTCGTGATTCCACCCAGGATATGAAAGATTTAGAAACAAGGTTATTACCTCATCAATCAGACACTGTCAGTTTACCACATAATGACACCATCAATTGAATCCCAACAAATTTAACTTCTAGACCTTTAGTATAGATCAAACTTTTACACAAAATTTTCACCGACATAATTTAACAACATCCAAGTAAAAAATAGACGCTTCTTGACAGTCTTGAAGAGTAATAAAAACGAATACTTCAACCATGTATTTAACCTCGAATTACTGTATCTGTTATATTGAAGTTTACTTAGTGGTTTAAAGTTGAACAGTTGATAGTCTCAACGTCTGTCATTCTTGTGCAATAACTAATTACTATTTAATGTTGTTGATGAATGTTTATGCTTACGTATGACATGGTACAAATCCTAGTTTAATGCTAAAAATAAATCTTTTTAGCAAAAGATATTTATATATGTATGTATGTATACAAATACTTGTGGGAAATTCAATTTTTTTAACTGCGTATACTTACCTCACCGTCAACCAATACCAAACCGAATCCAGAATTCGGCTCTTTATGAAGTGTTACATTTGACACTGAATTTCCCAAACCGCTTCGCGACAATACATCACTAAGTCCTCTTTCTGGATTCATATCCAAGAGATTCACAGAACTCATTGCATCAGAATCTGTATCTCTTCCTCTATCCAACTCACTTACTATTTCCGAACTATTATCTGTTGTTTCTTGAATTGTAACATCTGGAATTTTAAAAGGATTAGGAACAGGATTTGTTGGCAAATTTGACATACTGCTGCTGACATTTCGATTTGATATCAGTCCCGGTGTAGCCGACCTAGAACCAGCCCTTGATGTTCTAATTTTATCCAATCCTTGACCAAGTAATGACATCCGATATTGTTTCCAATCATTGGCGGTTTCATTCAGCTGATCTATGTTTAGGCGGCTGAGTGAAGGGAAATTTGACGGTGGTCTTGAACCACTATTAAAATCTCCTACGCTTTGTGATAAACCATTTGGACCTTGAAGACGTGGATCAAAATACCACTGAGATATTGGTGTCTCTGTTCTATTAGTGTCTAACATTTGACTTGACCATTGAGGACTAATTGCTTTACGATTAAATACTTGGCTATGATAAACATTCTCCTGGGGATAGTAATTCATTTTACTGCCTGTCTGTCGATGGTGTGCGTATTTACGCTCAAATGAGGAATTCAGATCTGGATACATATTATTATTGTTATTATTATTATTGCTATTACCAATTAAATCAATTCCACCAATAGAAGCAGCTAATCCTTTTAAATAATAAAACGCTTGTTGATTATTATCTAAACCACCAGTTGGTTGATTATTCATATCTGAAATCTTAAATACCAAATGAATTGAAATCAAATATCAAAGTATTAGTCTACAACTATAAAAAAGAAAATAGTAGGCGTAAATATTTTTATCGATCGTATCAGAAGAAGAAACAAATTATATATATATATATATATATATATATATATATGACAACAGAAGACAAGGACCAGGCAACAGATCGTTTATTAAGGAATCAACACGTATTTATATATATTTCATGTACATTATTATAGCTTATTCAAGCAGACAAACACAGTCTTCTGATTGGTTGTTTCTTGCCCAAGGTTATTTGTACTGCCTGTGACTGGTTTCTCAGAAAGTTAAGCCATATATCTGCGAATCGTATTTGCCCATGCTAAGTCTGCTGTGATTGGTTGTTGAATCAGGCTTGTTCATATTTTCTGATGGCCAACATTAGCGACATAGACATTGACGTAAATTAATGTCTACCAATTGGCTAGCAGCCTGCTCTCACCATATATATATATATATATATATATATATACAAATTTGTGAACAAATACCAGTTTTGACTAGTTGATTACAGATTGATAACAGTTAGAGAACCCCTGAAAACCAGAGAGTACTGGACAGCCGTTTCATCCTAGTTTGGGTATACGAGCTTGCCTTGTAATCGGAAGATCCTAGGTTCGAACCTAAGTGGGAGCATAATGCCAATGATCCCCAAACCAGGATAAAACAGCAGCTGTCCAGTACTCCCTGATCTTCAATGGTTCTCTAACTGATATCAATCCATGATCAACTGGTCAAAACAAATCTAATCCTTACAAACCGACTATTGAAAATACCAGTTTGCCTAGGATAAGGAGTAACTAGGACAATAAACAGTGTCATCTCACATCATTTAGTGAAAAGTAAATATAAAATGCAAATAGAAATCGTATTTTAAATCATGTAACAACTGCTGAACAATTTACCTTAATGTACACAGTTATGACTCGTATCCATAATTGAAGTTATTGGTATCAATAAGAATAAACTTAAACCACGCATTCAGAAGTGTACATTCAACATCTGTGTCTATTCTAGCCCACCATAAGTTCACTATAGGCTTGATTGCCTTATATCTTAATGTTTCATTATGTCCCTGTACACCTAAACTAGCTTCTAAAAGCTCTTATTACTCTTTGTGAAAAGAGCCTAGTTTGTATCACACTATTATGATTATTATTTTTTGTCTTCCTCAGAATTTTCCTTTATTTTATTCTATTTATTTATTGTATTCTATGTACATTTCTCATGAATTCAAATCAATTGTCTAGCGGCCAGTCTTTTAATTCAATAACACTCGATTTTCAAGTGTTGGTTTGTAGGGATTTGATTGGTTACAGGATTTCATCATGAGCTGACATTGGTTAGAGAACCATTGGAAAACCTGGGAGTACTGGACAGCTGTTTCGTCCTAGTTTGAGGCTCCTCAGAAGTACGCACTCATCGGGGTTCGAACCCAGGACCTTCTGGTTACAAGGCGAGCTAGCTCGTAGACCATTAAGCCACTGGGACCCGATCCAATGGCCCATGAATTCTAACTTCTGCCAATTCACGATATATTGCAACCGCTAGCCAATGTCTTCGGCGAGTATTTGTTCTAGGGTTCTAGTGGGAAGTCGTGACCAGTAGGGTTGCGATATATCGTAAACTGGCAGAAGTTAGAATTCATGGGCTGGCCATTGGATTGGGTCCCAGTGGCTTAATGGTCTACGAGCTAGCTCGCCTTGTAACCAGAAGGTCCTGGGTTCGAACCCCGATGAGTGCGTACTTCTGAGGAGCCTCAAACTAGGACGAAACAGCTGTCCAGTACTCCCAGGTTTTCCAATGGTTCTCTAACCAATGTCAGCTCATGATGAAATCCTGTAACCAAACAGTCGATTTCTTTCCCCATATAACTGTTTCAGGTATGGCTATAATTCTACCTTAATGGCCTGTTGTAAATATAATTTTTTTAGATTTACAAATGTAGAACCTGTGGAAGAATCTGTTGAAAATAATTTTCGACTCGAATCTTTCTTATTTTGAACAGCTAAGGGGAATTTGTCAGTTACTTAAAGAATTAGGAGTTAATTTATTCCTCTCCTCCTTGGGGAATAAAACATGATCATGGCATCTTCCATCATTGTTTTCTGTCATCATCACTGCCATTGTCGTTGTTGTTGACTATTTATTAGTCGAACCAAAGTAATTTTTTCCTCAATTTTCGAATCCACTCCTCTAAAAATAAACAACTTGAACATTCAACTTGTCTCATTATGTGCTTTCTGAGGGGAAAATAATACTTCATGCTTTAAGCTCATAAATTTCAAGAGCAGTAGGCTTACTACCAGTTAGTTAACTAAGAGAGGTAGAGGAATGAGTCAGCTAGAAATCACCTCGAAACATACGCTGATGAGCATTCTACCAATAAACAAACCACTGATGCAAAACCATGAAGTAGTGGACAGCTGCTCCGTTCTAGTTTAGGACTGTCTATTAGCCATGACTCTACCAGAGATCGAACTCAATAGTTTGAAGTTACGAGGCCAGCTTGTTGACGATTCAGCCACTGAAACATTAATTTTTGATTGAGAATTAGTCTGTTGAGTGTAAAAAGCTGACAACACCCGGTATTTCTAGTCGATTGCCTATGCAATACTAACCGGAACCCACGTTGCTTAATTTCACTGAGTACTGATATGAGAACCACTGTTTGGAATATGTTATGGTGTGGTGAGAGCTGGCTCTAAGTCAAAATTGGTGGACAGTAATTTACGTCAATGTTTATGTCCCCAATATTGGTCGTGATAAAAATGAGAAGAAAGGCTTTGCGTAGGCGGATACAGTTAATATATAGATGATCTAACATTCACGAACAGTCACAAAGAGATGCAAGGTTAACTTTCTGTGAGAAACAACCAATGAGAAGACTGTGTTTTTCTGCTAACAATATGTACATATATATATGTACATGAAAATCTATAAATATGTGTTGATTTCCAAAATAAACGACCTGTTGCCCGGCCCTTGTCTTCTGTTGTTACAATGGTAGGCAACTTAACATTCAGTGACCGGAGATAATTAACAAAGTGAATGCTTTAAACTTTAGCACACAGTGCTTTAAGCTTGAAGTTCTGAAGCTGTGGAAACTCATGGCAATTATTTTGAATTTCCTGTTGATAAGCTAGTTCTTAGTATAGAGGCTTCAAAAATTTAATTTGCAAATGCTGTCAGTCATCATTTTCTGTGATTAGGCTCAGCAGCCCTTCTCTTTTGAAATAATAGATACTAGGTTCGATTGTCAAGAGAGATACCATCACTCCTTGAGATACAGAGAAATCTATCTCACGAGTAAAAGACGAGAAAAAAACACGCGTTTTGGATTCTACCATTAGCATTATCGACCGGGAAAATGACCCTCTTTATAAGTGTCATGAAACACAAATTCCATCATATACACATATTCACCATTTAAAATGCCCAATACCAAAATCTAATTGCGATCAGATCAAATATAAGAACGGTAGTGTCTCTGTCAAACCCGAAGGGAGAAAGACATGAGCAAGTAAGCTTAAATTTTCATCGTTTCAGTGATTTTCAGAACCGAAATAGAATTCGCTGATGTGATGTTAAATAAATGAAAATGTTTCTCAGCCAGTTAAATTTATTGCTTTTAGAGAGTTCAACTCTTTCCGGAGCCCTTCTGGAATATATTGTACAACTCAGTCTGTCCTTCATGAATCTGGGCGAACACAAATACAAACTGATGATATGTTACTGGCATAATAGTCAATTTGTATTTTTTTTTTTGAATTACAGCTTCATTCCACACCGTATTTTTGGTACAAGTATGGAATTTTCAGCATGTGATATCGGTAGCCCAAATTTTGCAGGCCGATCATAGATATTAGGTGTGCATCGGCAGGGGATCGAACCCAGGACCATGTGCATAGTCAGCGAGAGTCTTAACCACTGTGCCACCGACGCACAGGTTTTCAATTCAGTCGACCGTCATAAGTTTATCTGTAAAGTATGTTTTATGAATGGTGGAATTTAGCCCATTTTAACATATATATACAATTTTCTTCTCTATAGTGTGATATGATACTCATCTTTAGAGTTGAAATCCTGAATTTTTGATCATTTTATCAGTTCAAATACTTTGGTGAGTTTATATTGCTTATATTCCTTAATATATCGATGCATCTTTTCTTTGTAGTCGCTGTAAAGATACACTGACTTCAACTAGATAGGTATGCAATTAATTTGAATTTTCAGAGTATTGTGCTAAGTTGAGAAGACTTGAATTCCACTTACTCAAAGCAAGCATCCCATCAATTGAACATTTTTCAATAATATGTCTGTCTAGTTTTCTCTACACACGTTAAACTTATCTAGTTAGTTTTCGTATGAATTATTTTATAGAGATTGGGAAGGAGTGTCGTATTCTCTGACTGTGACTGTTTATACTAGCAACGGAATTATAAACATACCGCAGTAGACTTATCCACCATGTAATGCATTTAAGCATATTTGAATAGTAAAAGAAGTCGATATCACACCTAAACAAGTTCATACACTTAATTTAATCCAACAGTTCTGGCGCCATGACAAATGATTATATTTTAGCTTTGTTTTCTTATCAACGTGTTATTTGAAACTGATTGTGATAAACAAATACAACTTATTTGCAAAGCGAAATAGTTCATGTTAGTAATTTAACTTGTTTTCAGTATTTAAAAAAATAGATACATATCAAAAATCTAATAAAATTGTGTCTTAACAACTAATATTGATCTTATTAGTTATAAACCTGTGGTTTGTATCTGCTGATAGAGTATACATTATGTCATAGTAGTGGCGGTAATCATAATAAAAGGATGACTGTTTAGATCATGCCAGTAGCTACACTTACCAACAATAAAAAATTCCCACTATTCTCAAGTGACTAGAAAAGGAAACATCTAGGCATAATGTTGTAGCTCAGGTGGTCTAGTGGATAACGCTTTGGCATTTGAAACTATGGACACTGGGTTCGAGACTCGGTGGGAACATAATCACTCACTGGGAAATGCAGGTACATACGGTGATGAGTCCCAAATAGAACGAAATGTGCATCCTGCGTTCCACTGTAAGTCACCATCCACCAATCAACTTCTAATTGTTATATCAGTAATGCTGAAATCTGAATAATTATATAACTGCTCACTGTATGATAGGTTATTTCAACTCTATTGTGATGCCGACACTATTAGGATATCTAATATCTATGGCGAGTATGGTTGGGAAAATAACCTTTAAATCATATAAAAAATCTTTTAAAAAAGCAAAAATATTATATATATATATATATATATATATATATATATATATATAATATGAGTTTAAATTTACATGATTTCCACGCCAAACAGGTTCACCATTCGAAGGTCTCGGTTTCATACCATTAGTTAAATTTATTGAGCTTGAAATTTGACTTGTTTGCGCTTTACTGGGTAATGGTGAGAACTCTGTATTCTCTATAAGTGCACCTTGATTAATCATCAACGGTGATACACTTGTTCGACCATTACTCGATTTTATTGGCAATCGTTTACGATTTGTAACTGCTAATTTATGACGTATTGCTGATCGATTAAAGGCAGAATTACGATTTCCATGAATCTGTGGAATAACTCTTGGTGGGGGAAACTGTCGAATTAATTCTTGCCATCGAAAATGAATAACTGGTGATTGATTAGCTGAATAAAGAAATAAGTCAATAGTGTAACAAAATCATGAAGAACATTTGTTTATACTGAAAACTAGGATAGAGGGATCAAATTTATGATTAAAAGATTTATGATTGTTGTTTATCAGTTCAACCTTCTTATAACTTAATGAATTTAGTATTGAAGAATGCAGAAAATATTTACGATCAAAAATACTAAAGCACTGAGAACATCAAATACTCTCCGCATTCATCCTCAGCTACAAATCTCCCTCATTACTTTATACGTCTTATGTATACATCAGGGAATGATTTCTTTTTTGATTACAGCCTGATTCTACACAGTATTTTTTGGTATAGGTATGGAATTTTCAGCATGTGATATCGGTAGCCCAAATTTTGCGGGCCGACCATAGATATCAGGTGTGCGTCGGCAGGGGATCGAACCTAGTACCATGTGCATGGTCGACGAGATTTCTGGCCACTGTGCCGCCTAAGGGTGAATCTGAACAGAGTTCGACATCTGCAGAGCTAGAAAGTTTTCTCATTAGTGCAACTGCACAAGAACTGAACCAAAATAAGTATTTTTTTTCCCTAGTGGGAAACCTGTAGAAATAAACTGATTAAGGCCGCGAATATTAAACGACGAAGAGTAAAACAGCAGGAAACTGAGAGAGGCTCGAAGATAAGTTACTGGAGTTCTCAGTAGCACTGAAGAAGAAAATTCAAGATGAGGAACGGATAAATCTTTTATCTACCACACTGCACAACTTGCTGCAACAAGCTCTGAACTCAGTCGGGCAATAGAAATAAGAACTCAGATGATCTACATTTTGCATATCTTTCAGAAATATTTATCAGAAGCTTGACTGATACAGAAAGATTCACACAGTGATGAAACAAAACTCTCGTGTTATTCGGAAACAATCTCCCTCCTATTGGTTGAGAATATTTTTGTGTTTGTTACGCAACCAAACTTTGACTACACTTACTTCTGAGATACTACAATCAGGCATTTGAACATTTTTAATCCTTCACCAGAACTCGTAAATTAGTTGTATACTCATCGTTTTTATTTTGAATTGGAGTGTTTCGTCTTTTACTTCGGCTCTAAGGCACAGTTACTCATGATATTCACTCCTTTACCTGGCTAATCCAGTAGCAAGGCTGGTAAAGAGGAAAGGTTGGGTATGAGACTAGCAACCCTATACTGTAAGAATAAACACTGCTTCAGAAACTTCAAGCTTCTAGCTTGAAGCCCTATATTCCACTGGGAATGTGAAGGAAAAAACATGCAATTATTCAAAATGTACTATTTAAAACCTTGCATTATTGTCCATATCATCAGTTAAAATTTTCACATTGTTTTTAGTGTCACCTTTGTCAAACAAGGTCAACTGAAAATCCACATGGAGACTATATCTCGTCACCATAAGCCCATAACCTTGAAAATAATAGTTCACGAGTGAAATATGAAACATATAAGCAGGGAAGTTTCAGTTGACCGGTATGCAACTACTCTACAAAATGTGCAAATGATACAAAGTTGAAGGGTTTCAGAAGATGTATATTTATTCAGTTGAACTTTTAGTTCATGTATTGTACACAGCTGGTGAAGAAGCGAACACTAACGCATACTATCAAATGGTTTTAGTCACTTTCAAACTGATAGATACTTTAGCGTTGACAAGTTGAGTTAATGGAAAATTGTTGGAAGTTCTGAAAAGACAGTCAAAGATGGTTTTTCTTGTTTCTGTAGTATATAAGCCTACACCACAGATTAATGCGTTTTACAGCTTTGTTTATTATTTCTTAGAGAAAATATATAAAATAAGAGAATATTTACACCTGAAATAACTGACAAGTGTTCATGGTTAGACCAAGGAAAACCACATACTATATATATGTATATATATTATACTGCAGCAGACATTATTTGAAATGTGACAGTATAGCAGTCGGGAGGTTTTAAATAAAGGTGATAAAATGAAAGAGGAGTATTAGCAGAGTGCGATACTGTACAAGTAAGCAGAGTATCAATGCGGATCTACAATATAACCACTGTCATTAGTAAACTTATTCCTAACCCTCACCTGTGTTTCCCTTTTTTTATATTGCTATAATAAACATGCTATGATAATCTCTACAGAGAATGAAGTATGTTAACTTATTATGGAGATTGCCGTTTATAAATAAATTTCTGTAAACTTATTTATTAATTAATCTTATGTGCAAGAATTAATGTTAATTATATGGCTGGAAGATTAGTTGAATTGACAGACTTACATGCCAGTTTTGTATCCAACTGATGAATACAATTCTTCATGGTATTTTGAGTGCATAAACCATATGGGTCCATTGGTCTATAAGGAGGTGATTGATGATGATGATTCGACTTTGTTGGACGTAAGCGTTCTTTAGACTTCCAACCTTTCAATGCTAACTCAATTAAGTCGGTAGCTAAAAGGATAATAAATGAAAAAATAACGAAAAATAAATCGGTAAAATTGTCACAGTATAAACTTCTATTTTTATCAGAAGCTGTAATTTTCAGCTGAAAATGATAACTTCATTTGTACTTCTATGAGAAATTCCTGTCGATTTGATATCCAGTTTAATTCACCATATATCCCCCCATATAATTTATACTATTTAATAAGCTTATCAAAGGCAAATTTGGATTTTCCTGTTTTAGAACATGACAAAGGACATAAGTGTAGCATCTGGTAATTCCTGGTGCAATCATTTCATGTAGGGATTGAACAGGCGGACAGTTTGTTAAGTGATGCTATTAGTATTTAAAAAAGAATCTTTCTTACGTTATGCGGACAGACTTTTATAAAAACCTTAAAAATTTGTTGAAATTAACTTTGATAACTTTACAGTGGAATGCTGTTACTCCTGCATGAACTGATGGACGCAGGCAAAATTTAATTCTGAATTGCCATTAGATTTCTACCATTCATCCCGAGAATATCAATCCAGCGCTCTAACATGTGGTTAACCTGATTCGACAAGTTACTTCATAAAATCTTTGTTGATGAATTTTTATGATTTTGAGAAATTTAAAGTACATACAAGTAAAACTGAACAAGATTTATTCTTATGATAATGAACAAATTGATCTTGCAACAAGTTAAATGATCATGCATCTACAATATAGAACATTCTATAACCAACCAGTTAAATTAAAACATGTTTAGACTGATGGGGAGATTTATTCGAAATGGCTTACTGAAATATGTAAATCCACCACATTTAATGAAGATTTCCACGAATAATGAGCTAATCAATTATTTAGATTAGTAGTAAAGACCTCAATCACTTACACTACTGTAATCGTTATCCTTTATAATCCATTAGGGTTAGAAGTGAGTAAGCAGGAAATGTCATGATCGTGAACAGACAGCTTCAAGCCACTCATGAAATCGATACGAAGTCCTTACTGAATGAAGTTAAAGAAGAACCTAACCAAAAGTCTGGTTCTATAATTTAACTGGCATTATGCAATATGAATAGTCAGACAGATACTTGTTTGTTTCATTTTCAGTGATCACTTCCTGGTAGTGAATCATTCTAACAAACTACAGTGGTTTGGTTGTTATAAGATCCATTGACTTACAGATTTAGCTTTTTATTTTATGAAGGTCCACTATCAGTTAGTAATGGACACTGATTTGAAAAGTTGGGATAATGACAGATTATTTCACTGGAATTTCATTTAGCTTACAAAAGAAACTACCTTCTGTAATGAATCTGACGACATACATTTAGTCTGTCTGGTAGTGATGACATACCACGGCGTGGCAACTTGACCTCCAACTAACTAGCCAAACGAATAGATCCTTGCAACTTCAGTGTCTGATCCATAAGAGAAGCCATAAGAGTGTTCATTACTCAATAGTCTGAATACAGGATAAAGTACTTGTCGAGTGTTACCAGTTGGATTTGGCTTACGGCAAAACTAGGAGCTTATCGACTAATATAACTGAAAAAGTAAATAAACTGATATCACCGAGGCTTGAGACAATCATAAATGCAACCACTCTACTTACTATACACTCGCTGTCACAGATACATTTCTTAGTAAAGTGTCGAGAAATACGCGTTAACTCGAATCTATTCATAAGCTGAACTTCGGGCAATCCTTCAACACTGAAGGAGAATTTTCAAATGATGAGTGGATTCAGTCAATTGGTTTTATCGATTATCTGCATTTGATATTTCAATTTGTCAAACATTTTTCAGTGTTATCGATTTAACATTTTTTAAAGAATTTCTTTACAAAATAAGTGTGTGAATAATTGCTCTTAACGCTCTCTTATTATTAGTGTAACTGTTAGTTTCATTCACTGAAAAAAACCTCTGGCACATAAGATCAAGCCAGAATCATATTCGTATTTATTTCATATTTGATTGACAGCTACAACGATATAAAATCGATTTTACTGCCCTTAATCAGACTGCATGTGATTAGTCTTATACAAATAGGGAAGATGTAAAACATAATGAAATCAGTTTAGTTGGTGAAAACAGATAGAATTAATTGACTGCCGGTCCATTTTTACCTGGATTATCGTCTATTTATTTGATACTTTCAACGTGTGAATGCACAGTTATATCAATACACTTCACGTCTAGATTATTTCCATCTTGACAAACTAATACAACTTTCACTGAATGTGACAATATGCTTAGACGGAAAAGATAATGACTGAAAGTTGACAAACATTTTCATTGTTACAAATTTTCTTGACGAGAAAATTTCTAAAGATCTACCAAGTGACTAACTGAACTAGGAGGCCAAGTTGTTAACTTTATCTAGAAGTTATCCCTTAGAATGCAAAGCAGTGAAATCTTAAAGAAGGGATTTTAAAAAAGGATGGACAGCATCAAAGAGCATTGAAAGCTCTCAAAAATAATGACAAAATCGTCACATCGCTACCTGACAAAGGCTCAGGAGTGGTGCTGATGGACAAAGATGACTACATAGCAAAGACGAAAGCTGTGTTAAATGACCCATTGAGGTTTAAAGTTGACAACTGCCAAAAAGATAAGACAGATGCAGTCGAAAAATGCATCACAAATGTATTGAGGAATCTTCTAAGGAAGAAATTGATTGACAACAATACAATAATTTTGAAACCCGAGAGTCTGATTTGCAGCACATGTATGGCCTACGAAAGGCACACTAAAAACAAGTCCCTCTGAGACCCCTACTTTCGATGATCAACTCGCCTCAGCATAGGGGTTGCTCGTTGCCTCGGGGAGAAGTTGGAACCCTTTCGTCAGTGGCTAGCCGTGTACATCATTTTAGACTCATTTCATTTCACCAAAAGTATCAACCACATGAGGTCATGGCGTTATTTAATGCCACCTCCTTGTTCACAAGGATCACAGCCAGTGAAACTACTGAGATCATTTGTTATCATTCTGATCTTCTCCCACAGTCGAAATTCAGACGCCTACTGCTAATGTGTAACATGGACAGTCCATTTAGTCCTGTTTCGGCAGATCTCTTCTTGTCCAACTCTGAGAGAACAAAGCTGAAGCAGGCAATCAACGAAACAACTTATTATTGTCGATATGTCGATGACACATTTGTAGTGTGCGGTAATCAGTACACAGAAATATTAAATTTATTAAAGAACATGAAAATAATGGAAGGTTCCACTTCCTTGATATTGTCATGCAAAGCCTAAAAGATGGTTATCTCCAGAAGTCAATTTACTTAAAGCCTACATTGAATGGACAGGACTACATTTCAATAGTTTTTGTTCAAATAGCTTTAAACAAGCACTAGTCACGGCTCTGTACTGTAGAGCGAAGAGAATATGCTCTGCAGGGAAAATATAGGAAGAATTTACGACCGTCAAGAAGATGCTGAAAAACAACAGTTACCCACAAAGGTTCATTAACAAGTACAGAGGATCTGAAGTCTAAAATGTCAAGAAAATCACAGTGGAGAAAAACCCCATTTACATTCAACTTGATTATAAAGGTGAAAATATAACAGTGATTGTCAACAGAAGAGTGCGTACGTCACTAGGCAGAGCCTATCCTGCAACTAAGTTGACTCCCGTCTAGCGAACAACTTGCTCTTTGGTGCAATCAAAAATGTATAGATTCGCTTCTCATGTTAACTCCAACTGTACATACAAATTTACATGTATTCGCGGAAGCAGTTAAATTGGAAGAACAGTAAGAAGGGCATACCTACGATTTTCTAAACATCTAACAAAAAGTCCATGTCTAAAGGGAACAAATGCTTTAAACTGCGCCACCGCTAGCCATCCACTTAACACGGATCGTGAGGTGGACGTCTCAAAATCCTTCACAACTATCAATAGGCGCAGGTTTCGATTCTTCACCCCAAGTTTGCTGAAGCGATCTCCATCAACCACCTGAAACCCTATTTGTGCATTCAGAAAGAAGTGGTTATCAGTCTTTCCTAGTTTTCTGGTAACTGGATATTTTCACCCTCTCTTTCATCTGATTATGTAACGTCGACAGTTTCCATTGTGTGTGATCATTATTGTTCAGTGACCATGCTTTTCAAAACTATATTTTTATTGTATGCATATATTGATTGATTGATCGATTTTTGTTTGAAAATGAACTCTGTGCAAGTAGGTTAAAATTGTTTCTGTGGATATCCTGAATAATAACTTTGGCCTGTAAGCAACTGATGAGAAGCGAACGGAATAAATGATGTTACCATTTTATTCTGCACAAACCACTGTTGTTCTTGCTTATTCATAGACTTTATTAATTGGAATTGTTTAAATGACTGACGATCACTTTAATTAGGCCATAATTAATTTCATACATAAGAAACTATATTATCTTAGCCAACTAACGTCAATTTCAAGTCAATAACAGACATAAGTGGACAACCTAGTGGAAACATGTTGGTGATGAAGGTTAGTGAAACTAGATGTTTCTTCTAAAACAGATATTTAGACTTCGATTGTGCAATGGTCCGATCATTTCTATGCCCGAAATCCCAGTGTTAGCCAGAAAAGCATAGGGATGGTCTGGTTGTTATCTTCACTATTAAAAGAACCAATGACTTGAGACCTTACAACACAGCTCAGAACCATCCACAGTGATATAGATATATTAAGTCCTGCTCAGTATCCATACTCCGGAAATCTTCACCAACCTTTGTCTAACTATTCTTTCTCCTATATATTTTCATCTACTGTAGGATGATTACATTTACCTCTTCAACTTATATGCTTGCCTTTCTAGTGTGTGGCAGCCTGTGCAGACGCAATCTTGTGGAGAGTTGTAGGCCTCTATAACTACTACAAAAACCTTTTTATGTAGTGAATAGTCCGCTTTTACAGAGAAACTACACATAAAATCTTGTAATTTACAAATTCATTGGCCTCCGAAGCATCTGGTGGAATTTGGATTCACCTGTAGTAGTAGTGTCGTTCCCGATACACTTTTGATGAGTCTTTTATCAAATGAGTGAAACAGAGGGCTAGCAAGTGTTATCGGCACTTTTAGCTTGTATTTACCATGTAGCAAACTTAAAACAGTTCAACGAATTAACAATGACATATTACACTTGAGTACTTGGGGATTGTGGATTTACGTTTCTGTTTCTTATAAAAGTATTATGAATTTTAGTGAAAGGTATAAATATATATTAAAAAGAAATGATACTAAAGGAAATAGAAGCTTTAGTATTTAACTTACGATCTTCATCAACTACAGCAGCATCTTTCTCATCAATGCTCCAGTTAATTGTATTCTGCACGCCTAAACCATCTTCATATTCTTCCAACAGAAAACGCAATAAGGCAGGCGGAATAGAAGGATGAGCCTCTCTCATATCATTCCACGTCATCTGAACACAATATATTCAAGAAAATAAACCTTTAATCATTCATACTGGAAGATTCATTGAAAAGTATCTGGAAACTACACAGTTATAAGTAGACTGTGAATTAATTTTCGCCTGATTCAGAGATTATGTCTTTTGGTACTGATCGCCACACCTCCAGGCAGCCTGAAGAGATGAAGTCGACTTCCTCTAGATACATTACTAGAGATACTGTGGACCGCCGAGGACTTCTTCCTCCTAAACTGTACAATCGCCTCTTCACTGGACCACTTGCTTTGCTCTTCATCAGTGCATGGATGGTGACTGTTCTATTTTTTGGCAACTGTTAACTAGCTACTTTTTTTCGGAAAGCTTTAGCTGAACTGAATAAAACAAAACAGTAAAAATTATCGTATCCTTAACTATTAGAAACTTATCTTTCTCAGTAAATGAGAAATTAAACGATGGTATTCTATTTTGGTAGCTTCATCGAAGTAATCAAAAACCAGAATCCGAAAAATCACAAAAATTCTTATTGTACAGATCTTACACAAATCAAAAATATCGCCGAGACACATAAATTATAATTCCGTGGCGTTTACAGGGTGAAAACACCATTCAATTTTAAAGAAATTGAAAACTAAATCTCTCAGTACTCTTTTTACATCGGCTTCAGTATGGCAAGATAACACTCACTTTAATATGTCTGATTTTAGTTAAACAACCTACTGAAATAAAATTTTAGTTTTTTAAATCGGTATATCTCATTAACAAATGTTTAGATGTCTTTAATCTCTTAAAAAGAGTATACACACTGATAAAAAAAGTGAAATTGAAAATATTAAACCAGATTGAAATTCCTAAAATAAATGTATATATAATCTCCAAACACGCCGTTCACAACACATGTTGTTCTGTGCACATCAGACACACTAGACGATTTTAGGAAAGTGTTTAACACATACAGCATTAAAGAGTACGCTTTAAAACTTCCACTTCCACATAAAACAGTCTTTTTCATATGAAAAACCGGATCCCAAGGGATTAACAGTCTGTTCGTAAAAAAAATAGAATGCTGAAAAGTTTCCGCCACAGGTTTACGCGCTTTACCACAAGACCATAAAATTTACTTTAACAATACTGAAACCACAGGTGCAGTACTTCACTAAACATGAAATACAGATCGCGTGAATAACAGTGATGAAAAAAGCAGTTTGACGTGGATAGAACACTGCTCCTAACTAACACTGTCACACAAATGTGACAAGGGCTTTCAGTCACATAAACTCGTTTTAAAAATTCGCACGTCAATCAAATCCAGCAACCGGTACACGTCTGTAAGCTTTCTAGATTGATGTCCTGACGCTGAGTTGCGGTGAATGGCACTTATTACAGTGGCATTCGAAATCGATATCTGTCAATTCAATCGAGATATAATTAAAAAAAATTAGGATTTGCCGGTAAGAAAAATGACAAAAGCGTCTATTTCTTATAGGTTGGTTTACCAGGCCAGTAGAGAAAGTCTTTTAATTTGAGACAATATGTGGTGATTTTTAGAAACAAGTATTCACAATCGAAAAGTTCTAAAACGAAGCGAATATGCACCTAGTCTTTCAGTGAAAGCCACAATCACTTTCGACAGTATTAACTGAACTGAGACTGTTTTGCCTATAGTGATTAGTTAATGATCTAGCATAGTTAATTTGCTGATCTACTTCACATTTTAGCATCAGACGCTTGTGGTTTCTTTCAAGCTCTGTAGTTTAGCTATATTAGCTATTTTAACCAATAGTTTATACAAACAATGGATTCGACAATTCATCTGAATGAAAATTACCATCATTTCTGATAAACCATAAGGTGTTATAGAATTAACTTAGAAGACACGCAGTTCAGTTACTTGAAGTCCAACAGGCTAGTGAACTGAATTGAATTAAACGACCTCAATTTTAGACAACAATCAGTGAAATGAAGAAAAGTCTTATACAATAACAAATGACTATGTTTTCTTGTACACTGTTATTCAAGAAGTGCTTTTATGCATTTCCAAAATTGAATTTCTAAGGCGTCAGTGAAAATTGCATTTTACACGACTAATTAATTGTCAGCAGGCAACATGGAATTTACCATGTTGGAGTAAGTCTATGCTACAATTATTCATCTGTTACCCACCCACTCGTGTTTTAAGCTATTGATAAGATGTTTCATAATCGAAATTGATCAGAAAGGTGATGACGAGTCTTCTAGATTCATAGACATGCTGAAGCCTGACTGATACAAGTTACCCAGCACCTTAACGGACTAAACGCATGACACTTTTAAGACCGATCAATGTAAAACACATATACATAAATATAGGGTTGCAAACCTTTTTGAAGTTTCAGTAACGATGATGCTGCTTTGACAGGACTGAGTTGCTGACGTCACGCTTAGATTTCCCTCTTTGTCAGAAGTAATAGCAATTGGCAAACCAGGTAAGGCTCTGGAGTACGTTGGTGTCGAATCAAGCCTCGCTTGACTGAGTGACTAGTAAGCTTTATGTAAGTAAGCCACAGACGTATATATATATATATATATATATATACACGTGTGTGAATGTCTTATCGGACTCATAAGTAGAGAGTAACTTCTAAATGTATTAACTAAGTTATAAAGTTTTATTTATTTTGTTTTGTCCGTTTTTATTTGGAAGAATTTCATTTATATTTAAAGTAAGAAATATGTTTTATTCCATTGTTTCTGCTGTATTATTGGTTCAGATAAAATGTTTATCGATCTATAAATAAAGAGTTTTAACTTGTCTATCATTTTACTCATCTTCAAATGTACACCTATCTATATTTGCGAAACAGATATAAGGTCATTTTTAAGGTGAAAGGTCAAATGGACAGTTATTTATAAGAAGAGAGCCAGTAACAATCAACACATTTGATTTATGATTACAGCTTGATTCCACACCGTATTTCTGATACAAGTATGGAATTTTTGGCGTGTGATATCGGTAGCCAAGACTGTGCAGGCCGACCATTGATATTAGGTGTGCATCGGTAGGCGATCATGTGCATGGTTGGCGAGAGTCCTAACCACTGTATAAAATTTGTCAAAAACAGGCATCAGTTACAGGGCTATTCAAATTGAAGAAGCATTGGATAGTTGCTTTGTCCCAGTTCGCGTCCACGGATCCATCAGGGGTGGGACGCAGGACCCTTAGATTAGGAGAGGAGCACTTTGACCATAATAAAGTGGAATCTTGTTACCTGTGAATTCTAACTGTTGTAGATACACGATTTTCTCTAACACCATATAGTGCCCCCTAGTGATGTCTTGGTTGTGGTACTGACAAAAAGTTCCAAAATTAGATAAGATTTTCAAGGATTCTCTAACTAGTCGATTCATGACAAGATGTACGCTGAGTCTAATCAAAATAAATAAAACTTCAAAATTTCAATAGTCCTATGCCGTGAACAAATTTTGTAACTTCAAGTAGATTATGCATTATGTACTCAGCACTGATTACGGTTTCTAAATAAAAAAAAACCACAATGAAATTTCCACCGACAACTGTGACAGTGTTTGCAAAAATCTTATTTGCCTCATCACATCTAACATATTTAATGACCACGGTGATAGTCATCACGGTTACCAGTTGTCATCATTGTTACACTTTGAAAATGAAACGACTAAAGAAAAGATAAAGATATGCGGATGCTGCTATTTTAAGAAAAAGGCAAACATTTACAAAAGGAAACAACAAATTATTTATATCACAAGATATATAAAAATAGAAAGAGAAAGAGTATGTATATCACTTCTTGTATACGTTAGCTGTGCGTCAACTATTCTTACTGCATAAAACTCCAGTTACTCAATAAGAAACTGTTATCAGATAAACCTAGTGATTTCCGTGTATTTCTTTGACTGAATACACGTAATCTCAGAAAAAGATTATACTTAGGCTGTTTTAATCATAATATAGTTGGTTGTATAAATTTTTTAATATTGTTAGAGTATTTTTACTGCTTCATTTATTTAGAAAAGTGCAACAACAGCGTAAATGGTTGGCTGGAAACGAAATCTTGGCATATCATAAAAACGCCAACTGATTTTTTTAAAATTTCAGTTTGTGTCATTTCTGACAGCAGTTAAAAATAAAACTACAGTCCACTATGTTCCACTAGATGACTCAAACACAACACATAGTTGCTCAAAAATATTTGTTCAAATGGTAATTACATCGTCTGAGTTTTTGGTACTGAAGATACTGAATTATGTGTAGTGCATTTCAAGATATTGAGATTGAAACATGACTGCAGCCTGTAAACTCTCCAGTTATTGACCTGAGTTATCAGTGAAGGCGTAGATTATCGGTTGGAATTATCAGAATGTCGAGATTCCTTTGTTGCATATACTTATTGAAATGATTTGAAGGTGTTCACGGTGCAGTAGGATGGATCAATGTTTGTCACTTTGGAAGTCTGAATGTTTTTACCAATTGTCATTTTTTTTCCTTCACGTTCCCAGTGGAATATACGGCTTCAAGCTGGAGGCTTGAAGTTTCTGTAGCAGTGTTTATTTTTTACAAGATGAAGTTGCTAGCCTCATGCCAAACCTTCTCTTTTTACCAGTCTTATTATTACTGTATAAGTGAGGTAGAGGTGTGCGTCGGCCGGTGATCGACAATATGCATGGTCGGCGAGCATCCTAACCGCTGTGCCACCGACGCAATTACACTATTTCACCTATCTGAAATATACGTAAACCAATATATCTGAAGCATTCATAAAAGAAAGCTAGTACGGCTTAGGTTTTCATCCCTTTCATTAACATTGAAATGTACTCATATGCAGATATCTAAATCGAAGGGCCGCAATAAACTGCTTCTAAGTACTAGGAGAAAACATCTTTTGATTAGGCCATAACTGTAAATGCTTTTCCATTTATCCAAATATTTTTATATGTTTCTTGAAATGACCAAGGCCTTATGCTGACTAATTCATTGCATGTAGTTCTGAATAAATGCTTAC